CCACTGGGCACATACAAACTATACAAGGATGCTCCCACATAACGACACTAAAATTAGATAACTGTTTCACCTAATTTCATAGAAAGAGAGAAAGTTAAGCAAAATGAGAAGAGGAATTGGTCTCAATAGAAAGAGCAAGAGAAAACACCTAAAAAAACAAAAAAATGGGGCTTCCCTGGTGGCGCAGTGGTTGAGAGTCCGCCTGCCAATGCAGGGGACATGGGTTCACGCCCCGGTCTGGGAAGATCCCACGTGCCACAGAGCGGCTAGGCCCGTGAGCCATGGCCGCTGAGCCTGCACGTCCAGAGCCTATGCTCCACAACGGGAGAGGCCACAACAGTGAGAGGCCCGCGTACCGCAAAAAAAATAAATAAATAAAAATAAAAAATAAAGAATTCAAAGCATTAGTAATAAGACTACTAATTGAATTAGTGAAAAGAATGGATGAACAAAGTGAGAATTTTAACAAGAAACTGCAAAAATAAAAACAAATTTAAAAAATGAGAACAGTTTAAGAGATAACATCAAATGTACCAACATTCACAGAGGTCCCAGAAGGAGAAGAGAGAGAGAGAAAGGGGTTGAAAATGTATTGGATGAAATTATGGCTGAAAACTTCCCAAACCTAAAGAAGGAAATGGATATACAGATACAGGAAACACAGAGGGACCCAAAGAAGATGAATCCAAACAGATCCACAGCAAGACATATCGTAATTAAACTGGCAAAAATTAAAGATAAAGACAGAGTTCTAGGGGCAGCAAGAGAAAAACAAAGAGTTATACACAAGGGAACCCCCATAAGACTACTAGCTGATTTTTCTGCAGAAACTTTGCAGGCCAGAAGGAAGTGGCATGATATACTCAAAGTGCTGAAAGGGGGAAAACCTGCAGCCTAGGATACTCCACCAAGCAAGATTATCAGTTATAATTGAAAGAGAGATAAAGAGCTTCTCAGACAAGCAAAAATTAAAAGCATTCATCAATCAATACTAAATCTACCCTAAAAGAAATGCTAAAACATCTTCTCTAAGTGGGAAAGAAGTAAAAATCTATAGGAAAGGGAAAATCCCACTAGGAAAGACAAATATATAGTAAGGGCTGAGGATCAACCATTGAAATAAGCTACTATGAAGATTAAAAGACAAAAAAAATTATAAAAGCAACTATAACTGTAACAAACAGTTAAGGGATAAACATGAAGACGTAAAATATAACATCAAAAACATGAAATATGGGGGGAGGGGAGTAAAAAATGTAGATCTTTAGAATATGTTTGAACTTAAATCACCACCAGTTTAAAACAAGTAGATACAGTTGTAGGTCAACATATATGAAACCCATGGTAACCACAAATCAAAAACCTACAACAGATACACAAAAATTAGAGAGAAAGGAACACAAGCATACCACTAAAGAAAATCATCAAACCACGGAGAAGAAACAAAAAGAAGAAATGAACAGAGAAGAGCTACAAAAACAACTGGAAAGCAAGTAATAAAATGGCAGTAAGTACATACCTATCAATATTTTTTTAAATATCAGTGGACTAAATGCTCCAAGCAAAAGATATAGGGTGTAAATCAACTATACCTCAATAAAAAATATTTTTTAAGACATAGGGTGTCTGATTGGATTAAAAAAACAAGACCCATCTGTATGCTGCTTACAAGAGACTCACTTCAGAGCCAAAGACACACACAGACTAAAAGTGAGGAGATGGAGAAAGATATTTCATTCATGCAAACAGAAACGACAAGACAGCAAGTATAGCAACACTCATATCAGACAAAATGGACTTTAAAACAAAGCCTATAACAAAAGACAAAGAAGTGCATTATATCATTATAATATCATAATAATATAATACATGATATCATATAATAATATCACTATATCATTATAAAAGGATCAATACAAGAAGAGGATATTATAATCATTAACATATATGCACCTAAATATATAGGAGCACCTAAATATATAAAGCAAATAGTAACAGACATAAAGGGGAAAATTGACAAGAATACAATAATAGTAGAAGACTTTAAAACCCCACTTACATCAATGGACAGATCATCAAGACAGAAAATCAGTAACGCAACAGTGGTCTTAAATGACACAATAAACCAGTTGGATTTAATAACTATCTACAGGGCATTCCATCCAAAACCAGCAGAATACACATTCTTTTCAAGTGTACATGGAACAGTCTCCAGAACAGATCACATGCTGGGCCACAAAACAAGTATCAGCAAATTTAAGAGGACATAAATTATATCAAGCATTTTTTCCAAACACAATAGTATGAAACTAGAAATCAATTACCGAAAGAAAAATGGGAAAAGCACAAACATGTGGAAGTTAAACAACATGCTACTAAAAAACCAATTGGTCAATGAGGAAATCAAAGAGGAAATCAGAAAATACCTCAAAACAAATGAAAATGGAAACACAACTTTCCAAAATCTATGCAATGCAGCAAAAGGCATTCTGAGAGGGAAGTTTATAGACACAGGCCCACCTCAAGAAATGAGAAAAATCTCAAATATACAACCTAACCTACCATCTAAAGCAATTAGAAAAAGTAGAACAAACAAAGCCCAGAGTCAGCATAAGGAAGGAAACAATAAAGATCAGAGAGGAAATAAATAAAATAGAGACAAAAAATATATGAGAGAAGATCAATGAAAGCAAGAGCTACTTTTTTGAAAAGATAAACGAAATTGATAAACCTTTAGCCAGGCTCACCACGAAGAAAAGAGAGGACCCAAATAAACAAAATAATAAATGAAAGAGGAGAAATAACAACCAATACCACAAGATACAAAAAATCATAAGAGAATATTACAGCTATATGCCAACAAATTGGACAACCTAGAAGAAATGGACAAATTTCTAGAAACATACAACCTGACAAGATTGAATCAGGAAGAAATAGACAATCTGCATAAATGGATCGCAAGCAGTGAAATTGAATTTGCAATTAAAAAAAAATTTCCAGCAAACAAAAGTCCAGGACCAGACAGATTCACAGGGGAATTCTACCAAAAATATAAAGAAGAATTTTACCTATCTTTCTCAAACTTTTCCAGGAAATTAAAGAGGACAGTAAACTCCCAAATTCATACTATGAGGCCTTGATACCAAAACCAGATACCAAAACCAGACAAAACCAGATACCAAAACCAGACAAAAACACTACACAAAAGGAAAACTACAGGTTAATACTTTTGATGAATATAGATGCAAAAATCCTTAATGAAATATTAGCAAACTGAATCCTACAACATATAAATAGAATCATACACCATGATCAAGTTGGATTTATTCCAGGGATGCAAGGATGGTTCAATATTTGCAAATCAATCAATGTGATACACCACATTAACAAAAGGAAAGATAAAATCACATGATCCTCTCAATAGACACAGAAAAGGCATTTGACAAAGTTCCACATCTACTCATGATAAAAGCTCTCATCAAAGATGGTATAGAGAGAGCATATCTCAACATAATAAAGGCCATTTATGACAAACCCACAGCTAACATCATACTCAATGATGAAAACCCAAAAGCATTTCTGCTAAAATCAGGAACAAAACAAGGATGCCCACTCTCACACTTGTTTAACATAGTATTGGAAGCCCTAGCCACAGCAATCCAACCACAAAAAGAGATAAAACATATCCAAATTGAAAGGGAAGAAGTAAAACTATCACTCTTTGCAGATGACATGGTATTTTATATATAGAAAATCCTAAAGTCTCCACCAAAAAACTACTGGAGCTAATAAATGAATTCAGAAAGTTGCAGAATACAAGATCAATACAGACAGTCTGTTGTTTTCCTATAAATAATGAACTATCAGAAAGAGAAAGCAAGAAAACAATCTTGTTTAAAATCACATCAAGAAGAGTAAAATACCTAGGAATAAACTTAACCAAGGAGGTTAAAGACCTATGCTCTAAAAACTATAAAACATCGATGAAGGACTTTGAAAATGATACAAAGAAATGGAAAGATATCCTATGTTCTTGGATTAGAAGAATTAATATTGTTAAAATGTTTATACTACCCAAAGCAATCTACAGATTTAATGTAATCCCTATTAAAATGCCCATGATATATTTCACAGAACTAGAACAAATAATCCTAAAATTTATATGGAACTACAAAAGACTCTGAACTGCCAAAGAAATCCTGAGAAAAAGAACAAAGCTGGAAGTAAGTCCCTGAGTTCAGACTACACTACAAAGCTGTTGTAATCAAAACAGCATGGTACTGACACAAAAACAGACACATAGATCAATGGAACAGAATAGAGAGCCCAGATATAAACCCACACACCTATGGTCAATTAATCTATGACAAAATAGGCAAGAATATACCATGGAGAAAAGACAGTCTCTTCAGTAAGTGGTGCTGGGAAAACTGAGCAGCTACATGTGAAAGAACAAGATTAGAACATTTCACCACACCTTATAGAAAAATATACTCAGAGTGAATTAAAGACCAGAAACAATAAAATTCAAACAATTTTTCTTCAAACTACTTTTTCAAGTTATCAAACGTCAACGTCTGTCTTTGAGCTAACTTTATCTTTGTAGACTGTGAAAATTTTTTCATCTTTTACTTATATATTTCATCACATGCCTACTAGTAGCAACTTTTTTGCTTATTAAAGGAATTTTTAATTTTTCTATTTTCATTTTGTTAGTTTATAATCACTTTAGTTAAAAGTGACCACATCTGGATATCTATCATTCTAGTGGTACAACTCTATAATCTGCTATATTATGACCATGACTAGGCATGTATCTCCATTGCTCAATAATAGCCAACTAAATTCTTTGATCATTGACATAACTTTAACACAGAAAAGAGAAATGGCTAAAATATATGATTTTAAAATTTTTATTCCCAGGAATTCTTATTCTAAACGAACATCTGTAATTAGATATAACATTACTAAAATGTTCATATATTTTTAAAAGGCCTTACAACTAGTCTTTTTCCAGAACCAAGTTTTTGCTGTTCAGTCTCTTGTCTTTTATCTGCATCCGTTGCAAAAGCAAGTACTTGGTATCTGTTTAAAAGATATGGAATAATTGTAAGTGACTTTATAGTTAAAAAGTGTAAATTATTTTAAACTTTAAAAACACATAATCTCGGTATAGCTAAAATTTTTAAATGCACGTTATCTACAAACCTTATGAATAACTTCTACTTGATTTTAAAAATTGTAAAATTTAGTAATGAATTCATACTGAATGATACTGTGGCTTAAGACTATGTAAAACTGCAATGGTAAAGAAATTATAACCATATGTCCCAAAATTCAATGTTGGAAAAATAGCTCTGCCACATATCAAAGCATTTCCATTAGAAGTTTATGTGACAAATAACAATACTCAAGAAAGATCCAGCACCAAAACACAAAAGAGAAAAAAATACAAATAATGCAAAGCAGTCAGACTTGTTGCAACCCCCCCAAAAAAGTAGTAGTAGAAATAGTAGAAATTATTAATAGATAATCTATGGATCCCAGAACACCTGAGTTTAATTCCCAGCTAAACCATTAACTAGTTGAGAAAATTTTTTTTAATTAATCACTCTGTCTTATCTATAAAATGGGAATAATAATCTCAAACTCAAGCACTGTTAAAAGAATTAAAAAATAATTTAGTGCCTAGTACAGTATCTGGTATACACTAGGTACCCAATTATTGATTGACAGATTGACAAACACATAGACAGATACAGATTTATATATACATAAAGATAAATCACCTAGTAATTTATCTGGTATGTAATAAGTTCTCAATAATGGACATTATAACTTTCTATAAGTATTTTAAAGCTTTTATTTCAACAGTAACATTTAACACAACATTGTAAATCAATTATACTTCAATAAAATAAATTTTTTAAAAGTTAAAAATTAAAAAATAGTAACATTTAGCTCAAATCATTCTTAAAAACAATTTATAAATATTATTCAATTTAGAAATGATTTAGACAATAAAGTTTAAATTCCCTTACTCGCATTAATTTAATAATCCTACTCAAAATGAAGAAATTTTAGGCTCATAGATTCCTTTCCCTCTTTTTTTTTTTTTTTAATGAAGTTTCTTACTTGTATTGTTGGTGCATATCTAGTTACATAGGGGAGATAGGGAAGGCTCTCCAAAAGGTAACACTTAGCAGAGAAAAGGTATTAGAAGGTTAACAAAAACATCTTAACAAATAATTAAGCCTTTCCCTCTTATTGAATCAAAACTTCTTACATTGCTCTTTGATAGCTAAGAGGAAAATTAGTAGGTAGATATATTCAGACATCTCATATTGTCTAAGAGAAAGATGTCTGATAGTGTAAACATCAGGGACCTGAATAAATAAAGACAATGCAGAATATCTAAACAAGTACTAAAATTTACACTGGTATTCAAATGTCATATACCAACTCTTTTTTTTTTTTTTGCGGTACACGGGCCTCTCACTGTTGTGGCCTCTCCCGTTGCAGAGCACAGGCTCCAGACGCGCAGGCTCAGCGGCCATGGCTCATGGGCCTAGCCGCTCCGCAGCATGTGGGATCCTCCCGGACCGGGACATGAACCCGTGTCCCCTGCATCGGCAGGCGGACTCTCAACCACTGCGCCACCAGGGAAGCCCATATACAAACTCTTAAAGCCTTCTATCTCAATCAGCAATACTTAATTTGTAAAAAGCCTCCAATTTTCAGTGAATGCAGAATGATTATGAATTAAGATCGATTTTGCAATGCATTCATGAAAATTACAGTTAATAAGAAAGCTTAATGTATATAAAGTTCATTCATTCAATAAACATATAGTAGGGATCTCATATAAGCATTAACAAGGGGAAATACTACATGACCTATATCCACCAGGACCTTCCAAAGTAGTTGTGAAGATTCATATACAAACAAATAAGTATAACTCAGAGTGCCCTGTGCTAATAGAAGGTATGCATATAAGTACCAAGGAAATATGATCACAGGAACAGGTAATTGGGGTGGAGGAAATATATATGTTCTTGGTATCAGTTCAGGAGGAGAAAGCTAGGTTTTGAAAAATGAGTGAAAACTCATCATGCTGTTAAAGAGGTAAAAGGCATTATGGCAAAGCAAACAGCACATGCAAAGGCATGCAGCAGTAAAAGAGGCATGAAAGGCCATGGCAGGAGTTTAGGAGAGATGCATGGAGGAGAGGAATGAGTCATGGGAAATGAGACAAAAAAGGGTAGGAGGCTGAAGATCTCGGCCTTGTAAAATCATGCTAAAAAATCCCGTAGGTAGCTGCAGCAAATATCTCAACACCATCTGAGACTGACCTTCAAAATCCCTAACTCTCCAAAAGCGCCAAATAATTAGACCTCATAGTCCAACCTCCAAATAAGATTGCTTTACTCTTTCTGGTTCATGGTAACAGAAATTAGTATGCACTAGTGACTAGAACATCAGTCCAGAGCTGGTCCTGCAAATGGATCTAACCTCGGGCAATTAATTACATAGGCCATTCATTTCCTGCAGACACCAACCTACCAGAGGATAATATGAATATTAATGAGATTGTTGCAAATATCCAAAGATTTTGAGCTGTTTGAAGCTTCTTATATAACTAAAAAGAGTTATTATTTCATGTGAGGCATAAGTGAACCCCTAAAGTGGCCTCATTAACATCAAAACAGCAGGCACAGACACAGCCAAAATTGACTCCTGATTTCTAAATCCAGACCAATTCTCTTCCCAGAAGACAACTCAGAAGAGTATTTCATTATTAAATGTTAACTGACAGTAAATTTAGATGATGACAAACTTACAATAGCATTTATTTTATGATTCTTCCTTAAATTCTCTTAACTGTGACCAATAATGTACATGGAAATCTGTTTCCAAAACCAAACAATTCCAAGCAGACTTGGAATTTCTGAAATAAAGAAAACACTTGGATTATTTTTTTCTTATTGCTCAAGTGTTCCGTGATATAAGCTAAAGAATAAAATTCCCTTGTTGGAACTGCTGAAAGAATAATCAGGTCCAATGTAAAAAGATTTAATGAAAGAGTGT